GATTTTGTGATTCACTCTTTATTGTAATAACCCCCACCCTCATCCAGTGTGAGTCTTTGTTATGTGACTGTGTTTTTTTTTTGTTTTTTTTTTTTTGTTTTTTTTACCGTGTATTGAGTTGTTTTGGTTTCTAGTGTTGTTTTATTTGTGCTTACGATAAGCAACAGCACAGCGGGACAGTCTGTACGTGTGTTTATTCTGGGTTTGAGTTGCATTCACAAACATTTTGTCAACAGTTTTAGATTTTACAGTAAAATGTTCAACATACAGCTGGGAGTTCAGGATATTAGTGTTGGCTTGATGTAGAAGGAGGTTTGTGATTGGAATTATCATCACTTAAACATGGACTGGCCTTCATTTTGGTCACAGTTAAAGACGGGCTGGGCTACTATCATAAACAGTTTCACTCTTCATGTTATCTCAGTGGTTTCCAAAGTGTGTGCCGCTCTGACAGGTGGGGCACAAGTTTCCTGGCAGAGAAGTCATGCAGAACTAATGTTTAACATCGAATCATGTTTATGGCGGAACAAAGAAATTTGTGGCAGTTACGTTAAAAATAATATGCGCTTCTGCGTGCGTAAGTTGACAGCCGCAATAAAGAAGTGTAGTGAAAAGTGCGAACATGTGGTCGGGTCTGTCGTGCATCGTTTGCAGTGGTGCTGAAACCCAGGACTGGGGCACGAGTGACCACGTGTTCGCACTTCTTTATTGCGGCTGTCAACTTACACACGCGGCTACAGTATACACACGTCATCATCATCAACAACAACAACAGGACCCAGTTCATTCTGTTTTAAGCCGGCGAGGCGTGATTGGGGATGCCGCTCAGGTGGGTCCGCCTCCCCTGCAGCCACGCTGCAGACCACGCCCCGCCACAGCTCTGCAGTCAAACACAAGCTGACTGCAGCCACTAACAGTGAATAATATTAAACTCTCACTAAATTATGTATTTTTCATCTCTGCTCACAAGTTTCTAGATTTCTTTTTTTATAAGACTAAGACTGGACTTTAGTTTTCCATGTTTGGCGTTCACGTTCTGTTTAACTGGTTGCTTTTTTGAAGATGTGCTGCGGACGAATGAAGCAGTCGTGTGCAGCGGTCCCCAACCTAAAATCCACAGACCGGTTTAATGTCAGACACTGTTTGCATGGACTGGCTATTAAGGTGTCGCAGATAAATAAAACAAAATAAAATGATACGACCGAGACAAAAACTGTGGTGTTTTGTAAATATAATAATAAATGCAAATTCTCTGTGTAATTGTGTAACTTTATTAGCAGCGTCCTCCTGAGATGCACCAACAACACTGAGAGTAACATCCTCTATGCCCTTTAATGCTTGCTGGTCGCTATGATGATGCATAAATATTTCTTTCAAAATAAGACACACAACTACAACACGGGAAAGACCCAGGGAAACCCAGTTAACGATAAAAACCCTGAAAATCATCAATTTCACACCCGCGCCTCAACTCTCGCTTCACGGTACCAAACGACTCACGGACTGGTACCGGTCCATGACCCGGGGGTTGGGGACCGCTGGTCTAGTGACAAAAGTTAAATAGTTGTTTGAAATAAAAGTTGTTTATTTAAAACAGAAATGACTGTAAGATTCATTGTGAATGAGTTTATCATGTAAATAAAGTTGCAGCTTGGCTTTTCTGTCATTGTTTGTTTAGATGGGGGTGAAAATGTTTTTTCCTGTCCTGAGAGAACCACTGGTCTGGGAGTAGGGTTGGTTTTTGGTGACAATCTCAACTTTTTATAGAATTTTCTCCCCTTTCACACTCTCATGCTTCATGCGATGTGGTTAAAATGAAACCCAACCCTGAGCCTAGTTATGCTGCTGGGCGAGGTTACCTTTTCGAAGCACACTGTCTGAGGCCGCTTGACATGGCAACATATCAGAGCAATGGCACTTGCTAGGATCCAATATTGAGACTAATCTGATGTAAAATATTGTACGTGACAGCTTCTTAAAGTTATTGTGCGCCTCGCTACAGCGTATTCGTTTATGCTCCTGCCACCCATGGAATTAAGGAAAACTGGGAACTGCACTCAATTCAATGCATTTCAATTCAATTTTATTTATATAGCGCCAAATCACAACAAAAGTCGCCTCAAGGCGCTTCATAGATACAGAGAAAAACCCAACAATCATATGACCCCCTATGAGCAAGCACTTTGACGACAGTGGGAAGGAAAAACTCCCTTTTAACAGGAAGAAACCTCCGGCAGAACCAGGCTCAGGGAGGGGCGGGGCCATCTGCTGCGACCAGTTGGGGTGAGAGAAGGAAGACAGGATAAAGACATGCTGTGGAAGAGAGACAGAGATTAATAACAAGTATGATTCAGTGCAGAGAGGTCTATTAATACATAGTGAGTGAGAAAGGTGACTGGAAAGGAAAAACTCAATGCATCATGGGAATCCCCAGCAGCCTACGTCTATTGCAGCATAACTAAGGGAGGATTCAGGGTCACCTGGTCCAGCACTAACTATATGCTTTAGCAAAAAGGAAAGTTTTAAGCCTAATCTTAAAAGTAGAGATAGTGTCTGTCTCCTGGATCCAAACTGGAAGCTGGTTCCACAGAAGAGGGGCCTGAAAACTGAAGGCTCTCCCTCCCATTCTACTTTTAAATACTCTAGGAACAACAAGTAGGCCTGCAGAGCGAGAGCGAAGTGCTCTAATAGGGTGATATGGTACTACAAGGTCATTAAGATAAGATGGGGCCTGATTATTTAAGACCTTGTATGTGAGGAGCAGGATTTTGAATTCAGGCACTCAGAGATGGTGCCTGGTCTTTTGACTGAAAATATACTCCAGTCAAAGCATAAAATTCCTTTTTGCTGGAATTCTGTTTCCGTCACGCATCTGTCACCTACCCTGCTCAACTCGGCTTTTAGGGTTTTCCATTAGGCGGTAATACCTGGTACAGGGTACTTTTTTGGAGCCTTCTTGTCTGGAGCTCCAAGTATGCTGAGCTGAAAATGCGACTTCCGCAGGGTGCATACTGCTGATTGACCAGCCAGTGACATCACTGTAGTCATGAGAGCCACTCCTTCACAAGAATCAAACCCACCAACGAGGGAAGTGGCTGCATACAAACTTCCTTTACCCAGAGTCTGACAACAGCTGAGCAGCAGGTATACCATCACCTTGTGTTATGATGATGTCACGGGCCTTGCTGTAACAACCCCACCCACAGTGAGGTGGTATTCAATCATAATGGAAAAGGACCAAAATTAGAGTCCATGCGAGTTGGAATGAGGAGGTGCTAATGGAAAAGAGGCTCGAGTTCTTCCTCATTGTGTTGATATATTTGTAAACTCTAAAAACCAAAAGTCCTTTCTGAGTGAGAAATGTAAAACTTGACCTTGTCAGAGGTTGATCGTGTCTTGTTTACAGGTTTCCAGACTTTTCTTTTAGACTTGTTGTCTCTCACACTCGAGTCTCCCGTGACTTTGCAGGAATCCGAGTAGGCCTAAAATTTGTGAGCAGCTTTACGTTCAGCTACTGCGTTTGCTTTGTTTCAGATTACTTGGCCCAGATCGTCTCCAAGTCTCACCTGGAGACATGTCAGTACCTCAGGGAGGAGCTGCAGCAGATGAGCTGGCAGAGCTTCCTTCAGGATGAGGTGGAAAGCTACCAGAGCAAGGTGTGCTTCAATATGTCCACCCATGAATCCGTAAAGCCAAAAGCCTAGCGTCAGGTGATGGTGGCAGCAGGATAAGCGGGGTAGTTTATCCATTTGTCTCCTCAGTACCTTTATTTAGGTCCCCCTGGAGAATCCTGCTGCGGTCCCTTTAGATATAAAATAATTTAGCATGTTCTTAACTCCACGCAGAAAACATCCAAAACACATCTGAACTGGATTCTTTGACCTACATCTAGGGGAAGCAGTAATACTTTGCTCCAGTAATATTTTTTTTTATTTTAAGCCCATTTATATTTTCTAGAGACGGTTAGATGTTCTACTTTGACAAATTCTTAATTCTCTTTTGTTGAGCTTGTTAAACTCTTGCTGCTCTGGTGTGCGCAGCCTCAGGAGGTGATGTGGCAGCTCTGTGCTGTGAAGATCACAGAGGCCATTCAGTATGTGGTGGAGTTTGCTAAACGCATCGACGGCTTCATGGATCTGTGCCAGAATGACCAGATCGTACTGCTGAAAGCTGGTGAGAGCACAGATTGGATTCATTTTCATTTCGCTTTTTTTAAACTTGTGAAAAGCACAACAACGACGTCGCAATAATCCAGATAAGGAAATCTCAGCAAGTAGATTTAATGCCCCGGGTGTTTTCAGCTGGAGGAGCCTTTCCTCTCAGTTTGTGTGTCCTCAGCATCTCCTCGTTTTCTCTGCCAGGCTCTCTGGAGGTCGTCTTACTACGAATGTGCCGAGTGTTTGACTCGCAGAACAACACCGTCTTCTTCGATGGGAAGTTTGCAGGTCCTGAAGTCTTCAAAGCTTTAGGTGAGCAGAGTTCATTTTCTACTGAGGTGTCATAGGGTTTTTATCATCGATAAAACCCCTACATAAGCTCCAATTATAAATTAAAACCCCAAATTTATAAATTTAGGGTTAAAATAAATTAAAAGTATGAATTAAAAGTATAGATATTTGTGTGGGCAGTGCTACTTTCTAACAGCTGATAATAATCTGCTAATGTAGAAAGTCTGGTCGGATCTACTTATAACTGAGATGTGTCAAAACTCTACAGGTACAGTCAGCTGACTGGACACAGTCACTCAAACTACTTCTATTTCTAAATATGAGGATTTTATAAGTGCCAGTGCAGCTCACAGGTCTGAAAATCCTTTCAGAGAGTTTCTAATGTGGGCATGGAGGTGCAGTGGTTAGCACTGCCACCTCACAGCAAGACCAAGTGAATAGTTCAAAAAGTCAGCCGTCTCTCCAACCTCCCCTCCATCTCTAACTGTCTGCAGGTGGAGAAGGAACATCCTCTGAGGTTTAAACACTGCAGATATTCTTCTTCCTCCAGTACTGTTACACTTGGTTCTTCTGCCATTTTTTCCTCTCCTAAAGAAACTCTTAAGCCTCCTAAAAGTCTCCCTAGCCCCTCCTAACGGTTTTTCACTTCAGGAACTCTCTTAAGGGCTCAGACGCTTTGTGAATAACTTTTATCTCTACCAAGATTCAGTGCTAACTTTCAGGGGAAATATTTTCTTGGAATTTCATCACTACAGGCTTCTCTTAGTACTTGGAAGCTTTATCTGTTCCTGTATTGATTCCTGAGAGTCGGGTGGGGTCGTGTAACGCAGAAACAGAGTTGGAAAAAAGCCTCAGGTGTGCAAAAGCTGGTGCTTTCCTTGTTTTTCACTGATGAAAGGGGTTTGTAAGGTTGGACACATGTGGACCAGGTGGCTTGTTTGGTTCAGGTTCCTGGTTTTCATGTGTGGAAAAGTTGGTGTAGCATGGGACCTGAGCAATGGAAATATGACATTACTTCCTGTATTACTCTGAGCAGGGTTACTGCTCAGAGTAATACAGGAAGTAATGTCACATTTCCATCAGGTTTTCTTCTTGATTTTTCATCCTTTCCTGTGTGCCCTCTGAACAGAGTGGAATCAGATGCCTGCTTTTCTTTCTTTCTCAGACTAAAGTTTGAACGCTCGTGCAGCTGCTTTGACTTGCAGCCTGCCACAGAGGAAGACCGTGCCTCAAAATCACATGTCCTCCTTCTCTTTAGTGCTTCTCTTTGACTGAAGATGCATCTTTTTAACATTTTTTAACTACTCCAAACATCTCAAGATGCATCAGAAAAGAAGCCACCCCAAAAAAAGTAACAGGGAACGTTTGGCTGCTTCTTTGGATCATCGATCACAAAAGCACAGGAATGATGTCGCAGTTCTTGTCTGTTGGATTGTCTTAAATAATAAAATATGTGTTGATGTGATAATTACATTTTCTACAACGCTACTGATGCAATCTGACGTTTCTGTTGGCCTCTGTAAGTCACTGAGCATGTTTCCGGTGTTTTCCGTGTTCTCCCAGGCTGTGATGATTTCATCACGGCGGTGTTCGACTTTGCTAAGAGCATGTGCTCGCTGCACCTATCAGAGGACGAGCTTGCTCTCTTCTCAGCGTTCATTCTGCTTTCTGCAGGTACGTCCTTCCTTCACCATCTGATCAGATGTTCTACACTGACTTGTTGAGTTAAATAACTGTGTGTGTGTGTGTGTGTGTGTGTTTAGATCGGTCGTGGCTGCAGGAGAAGCTGCAGGTGGAGAAGCTGCAGCAGAAGACTCAGCTTGCTCTGCAACATGTGCTGCAGAAGAACCAGAGAGAGGACGAAGTCCTGAACAAGGTACCCGTGCTGCATGCAAACCTGTGTGTGTGTGTGTGACACACACAAACACACAGAGTACATGAATGGAGCGTAAACATGCAGACGGGAACTAAACTAAAAATTATACTCAAATTTGAGCCACACAGACTTTTCTGAAAAGTTCGAGCTTAACATCCGAAAAAGTGCTCAACTATTTTTTTCAGCATTTTAGTAAAACAGTTATTTGAAAATGAATAGATAACAATGATAACTAAACATTTAAATATGATTTTGATTAAAGTCTTTGAGCAGACTGTTAGATTCATAATTATAGAAACATACACAGTGATGTCTGCAATGAACGCACTGTATTGTGCTTGTCGATGTACTTGTCAACTCAGAAACAGTTTGACGCACAACTGAAAGTTGTTGTCGTTATCAGTATTCTTTTGTTGCACCAATGAGTTGGTTGTAGATGCAAAAAATCATAATAATGTGCTGGCAGAGAAAACTAACCAAAAACATGGTAAATATAATCTAGCAGGGCATGCCTAATGGAGAAATAGCTCTTTGCTGCCCTGTTGTGGACAAGTGTGGAAGTACAACTGTATAACTCATATTTCTCCACTGAGCACCAGTGAAGTTAAGGGTGTAAGAATACTCATGAGACTGTGTATGGTAGACTCTTTGTGATCACATTACACATTATTCTAAAGAGCTAAACATTAATTTATTCCCACTTCCTTTCTTCGTCTTTTTCTTCTTCTTTTTTTCACTTCTCCGCTTCTATCCTAATTTCTCTTTATTGTCTCCTCTTTTCTATTCTTGTTTCCTTGTCTCCTCCCTTTCCTTGCCTCTTTCTTCTCATTTCTCCCATCAGCTCAGATGTAAGGCGTCAGCGTTGCGTTTGCTGTGCAGTCGACACACTGAGAAGCTGTGCACGTTCAGAGCCGTTTACCCGGACATCGTTCGATCGCACTTCCCTCCTCTTTATAAGGAGCTGTTCGGTGCTGACCTCGAACTGACCCTGCAGAACAGCGACTGAACTGTCACTGGCACCAAAGCCGGTGTATCCAGACAGATTGCGCCCAGTTTCCATAGACACTGCGGACGGGGCGGCGTCCCACACAGCCGAAGATGGCGACTGTGCAGCTGCTGTACTTCATCTCCTGGACACCTGACACAGACACAAAGAAACCCGAGTTCATCTTCTCCTCAGTTTGTTTTTCCTCCTCCTCGTCCTCCTCTCATGTCTGTGAGTTTGCTCTGAGGAGTCAGGTGGTCTCATTAGCCCACGTCATGTATCCAGGCTTCTGAACCTGGATCAGACTCACCTCTAACAGTACTCGCACTGATACTTGTTTTTTGTTTCGTTTACCTGATTGTTAAAGCTTTGAGTTTCCTGCGTTTGTTGGAGAGAATGATGTTGGATCCATTGACTTGTCCACAGACAGTTTTACTTGATGATCAAAAGATTAAAAGGTAGCAAAAATAATTTCCTAATTTTAATTTGCAAAGTAAAATTGTTCTTATCCTTTGTGAGAGTGAGTGCATATGAAAAGCACCACATTCACACAGCTGCTTCTACAACTTTGGATACTTTGTGGAAATGTTATGTTACATTGATCATAGTCTCAGCTGATATTAGCAAAATGATCAAATAATCCCAACGTCCTCTTGACACTTATCCAGTGACATCAGTTGCATCATTTTCAGTGCTATTTACTGAAAATACTGTATGAGTCATTGCTCAGATACATAGCACAGCACCACAGCCGTGATCTCCAGTTCCAAAGTGACAAAAACTGCATTTCCTTTAATCACCACTTGATGCTAGCTCTGAAAGTGAGTCGGTGCATACAGACTCCTATGTTGGAATGCCAAACTTACAAAACAATACAAACATTTATTTTGGAATCTGTAGTTTTTTAACTCATCCATTTAGCTTAAAGTCATTCAATTCAATTTTATTTATAAAGCGCCAAACAAGTCGCTTCAAGGCGCTTTATATTGTACAGTAGACCCTACAATAATAGATACAGAGAAAAAAACGAACAATCAAATGACCCCCTATGAGCAAGCACTTTGGCGACAGTGGGAAGGAAAAACTCCCTTTTAACAGGAAGAAACCTCCGGCAGAACCAGGCTAAGCGAGGGACGGGGCAATCTGCTGTGATTGGTTGGGGCAAGAGAAGGAAGACAGGATAAAGACATGCTGTGGAAGAGAGCCAGAGCTTAATAACAGGTATGATTCAGTGCAGAGAGGTCTATTAACACAAGTCCCATGATGCATTGAAGAAACACCCAGTGCATCATGGGAATCCCCCAGCAGCCTATGCCTATGACAGCATAACTAAGGGAGGACTCAGGGTCACATGATCCAGCCCTAAATATATCCTATTGTCATGGCTGCTTAATTGATGGCTGTCTGCCTTTATTGAAATTATGTGACAACTGGTATGTGGTGCTGTGAGTTGCAGACTGTACAAGCTCTGTGCTTTGTTTTTGGTGAGTGAAATTATAGTCATTTATACGTCTATTACTAACTAGCAGATAGCACATGTGTTTCTGTGCATTGCATTCATAGCAGCTTGCTAACCAAGCTTGCTACCATCAGCTCATACCTCATACTCAGCAAATATTGTGACATCCATCATCAAAAAAAAAAAAAGTTCAAAAACGATGGATAGTCATCCATCTTTTATATACAGTCTATTAGGCCCACTAAGGAAATATCAAATCAATAACTGAGAAAGGAAGAAAACTCAAATGAATCCATGTGTTAAATTAAAGCTGTTCCTGTTTCTGCAGTGGTCTGGGACCAGTCTGCGTTCGTTTCCAGTCTCTATGAGGCATACAGTGCAAAATCTGGTTCTGTTTGTGTGCCATGATGTTCGTACTGCCATCAAAGCAACTCGGTGGTTGTTCACAACACTTTCGATGAGCTCTTCTCCTTTGTACCAGGGTGCCGTGTTCTGGTGTACATGTGTGGCCCCCTGTGTATGCAAACCTTTTATTTTATGTTATTTTTAGCACAAGCTGTCTGCCGTGTCGAAGAGTTGTAGAGCTTTCACATCATGTTGTATCTGCCCTCTGTGACTGTCATTAACTCTGTCCTAACTTTCACTGCAGGGCCCAGGGTGGAGCTGATGAAATAACACAGGATAAATACAGATTCTGCTTCATCAGTCACTATTTCTTTAAATTTACCTGAAGATGAGTTGTTTTTTGTTTTTAAATCTGATTTGATGAGTAATAAACTACTGTGCAGTGCTGTCAGCAAGATTATATTGAGGCCTCATCCCTTCTGAGGCATCAAATCCCCAAAGTTCTCTGTTTTAGATGTTAATGTTGTGTCTTTTCTTGTAGCCAAGGAGACAAACTAAATAGTAAACATGATGAAGACAGCTGATTAATTTTACCCAATATAACGAATGATTTTTATCCGGTAAATTGTGTGTAATTAAAACACCCATGCGACAGGTCCTCCTCCCTTCAGCAGCAGAGATTTAACAGCCATAGAATCAGTCTCTATGATTTCACCGTGACCCCCATCCTCCCTCGCATTCATCCAGCCTCCTCCTCCTCCTCAGCTGCCCATCTGTTGCATGTGTCCCGGCACCTCCTGCAGATATTCACAGCAGTAAATCTTTAGCACCACCTGGTGGCTGTGACACTGAGCTGTATATTTTACTTTGTGTGTGCTTAAAAGCTTTTTACTCTGTTAGATGCTGGAAAAAGAATGCAACATTTAAACTTTTCCCTTTCCTGTAAAACAAGAATATGCAGCAAGCCTCCACTCAGATTAGCAGACACACTTTACAAATTACACAGAGGATTACAAAAGTAAAAACAAAGAAACAATTAAACATGTGTTATCCCTCCTGTATTTCCAAAAGAAAAATCATGTTAACATGATTAGAATTCAACATAATAAGAGCAATACTACAAAAAACAAGCTTTGAGGAGCAATACTGACCCTGCCTCATAGGAAGAAACAACAACTATGCAGTGTGAAGAAAGGGATGTGTTGCACTAAAGGCAGTCTCTCCACTGCCTAGAGTGTGTGTGTGTGTGTGTGTGTGTGTGTGTGTGTGTGTGTGTGTGTGTGTGTGCACCCCTGTTTGTGGAATTTTTACCCACATGCAGCATCAGAACAGAAGAAAGTCACAGTGAATGAATCCATGAGACTTGCTGTCAAACGTCTGTTTGGTTGTTTTTGTGCCTCTTGGGCAGCAAAAACACACCAGTCACAGGTCCCAGACTGTGGAAGTGAGCTCCTCTGAATCTTAATAAAAAAAAAACACAACGCATGGCTTCAGACTTGAGAAAGTCACAGATAGTGTTGGGTCTGTGTTTCCACAAGCCCCACTAGTTTAGAGACTTATTCTCGTTAACGACAAAAACAAGACGAACATCTTTTACTTGCTAGCAAGGGAGGCCCCAGCCGGTGTCTCAGAAAGCACTCTGAATCCTTTTTTTTTTTTTTTTGCCTGTCCCGTTTGGCTCTTTTGCCATCAGAATTCTTTCTTCGTCTAAAGGTGAAGAAAGATGCCCAACGGATTTACTTTACCAAATGGACCGTCCCAGCCTTGCCGTAATGGTCTATTTGATTCACCTTTTTTTTTAATTGTTTATTTCATTTCCACTTGCTAAATACAGGACAGATTTGACTGGGGAAAAGAAAGAGGGAAAGAAAAACAGCGGGGAAGAGGGACGGGGATAAAGGGCAAAAAACAACAAAATAAGCAGACAAAAAATCCATCTATCAATCACCTGGATCACCTGTTGAGAAAGAAAAAAGAGAAAACAAGCAGAAGAAAAAAAAGAGCAACATAATAAACAACATCAGGATGATATATGTGAATATAACAGTAAATACTAAATATTAAACATTACTGTGCAGCACGTAAGATCGACAGCGCACAGTGTGCTTTGAGGTAGGAGCCAAAAAGGGTGTAGTTTGTGTTTGTGAGCACCCGTGTGTACACCTGTGAGCAAAACTCCAGACATCCAGAACACAAGAGGCCAAGGAAGACCAACAGAGAGGGGGAGCCGCGCCACTATCCCAGAAAGACCTGAGGAAAGCCCCAGATGAGGGGTCAGTCAGCAGCCGCGGAGCCAAAGCCAGGGGGGGTTGCAGTGACGTGCCCGTGAGCTCCGCCGGCAACCAGCTGTGCCAGAGTGACCGAGCTCCAGGCCGAGAGGCTGAGGGCACCCCACCCCCGAAGTGAGAATCATTGAGAATAAATAATTTATTTTTGGTAAGACCATCATTTTTATAGCGGCAACCCTTCCCATGAGTGATATGGGTAGACATTTCCATCTAGCCAGATCGCCTTCTACCTTCTTTAAAAGTGGGATATGGTTTAATTTAGTTAGATCTGCAAGCTTGGGAGAAACATTAATACCTAAATATTTTATATTTCCCGATTGTGGTAGTGTTGAAGAAGAATTATGGAAGGAGCAATTAATCGGGAGGACTGTAGATTTTGACCAGTTAATTGAGTAATCTGATATTCTTGCAAAAGAGTTTATCAATTCAATCACCCCAGAGATATTGGTTTGTGAGTTTTGGAGAAAAAGTAACACATCATCCACATAAAGGCTGATTTTATGTTCCACATTATTTGTGGTGAATACAACATTTTATAGAAATTCCTGAAAATGTTGTTTATTTGTTTCGGGTCATATACGGTACTGTGTTCCCAGATGAATCTTGAACAGCACATACAGTTGTTTTTTCTTTATTTATTTTTGGCTGGTGTGCTAAAAATTGACCGGATTTATTACCATGTTCGTAATTTTGTAAGCATAGTCTTTTTACTAAGAATTCTGTTTTTTTTTTTTTTTTTTATCAATTATCTCATTTAATTCTAGTTTTGTTTTGCGTATTTTGTTCAATGTTTCCTGATCTTGGTGGAACGCGTAGGCTTTTTCTAAGGATTTGATGCTTTTTTCTAATTCCTGAATATTCTCTGAATCCTACCACAAAATGACCCCGGCGACGGCCTCCGCTTGCTGCCTTTTATTGGGAAGACAGTTCACACAATACACATCACAGCAAAGCAACGCCCACCATAACCCCCCAAAAATGGTTCTAAGACAAGGCACTATGTGTGTGTATGTGTAAACATCTGTATGCATGTGAGAGTGTGTGTGTGTGTGTGTGTGTGTGTTTGAGTGAGTGTGTGAGAATTTGTGTCTCTCTGTATGCATGACTTCCTGCTCACCAAAAGGATCATAAAAGCAGGAAGCAACATCACAAGAAACAGATCTTCCAGATAGAATGTATCTGCAATAAAAGCCTCTCCAGCCAGTGGTCAGAGACAAAGGAATGTCTTGATCCTATAGATTGAACTCAGACCTTACAAATTTAAGAAGCACAATGACAATATTCAACAATTAGACTTTACAGATAGCATTACACCAAAGAGTAGAAGTTAACAAGTCTAGTGATTTTACTTTGGAAATGGGATGATTCAACAGTCTCGTTTGATCTAATGATAATTCTTTCTCTTTTTGTTGTAAGTTCATTGTATATAAATATTCTTATTTACATATTAAAAGAAATGTTCTGTGATACATACACAAGATACTGGCAAGCGAAAAAATCCAGGTTTCAGTCTCTGTGATCAAAGTCACAGTGCATGTGACTGTTCAGGATGGATGTGCAGGATTGTTCAACATCCTTCACTCTCTTCCTCCAGAGTCGAGCGCTACGCCCACATCACTGATCCATGATTAGTTACATGTCAGAGGGTTAATTATATTTTTAGTAATGACCTAGTAAAACTAAATTTTGACCTTATTTGAAAGAAAACTACCTGGATGATGATCATCACTGGATAATCTGCTGGGTGGTAGGGTCGTCTGTATGTTTTGTGCTGTAATTTAAAGAAATGTATACATTTATAGAAGGCTGAAACAGTGTAGAGATGCAGAATCATACATCGTTTTTATTACCTGCACCACCTCCCAGGTGGCTCGGTCTGTGGCCGTTCCTGGTTGATTCTTTGTCAAGTGTGTCATCGAAACATCTAAAAACTG